TTTTTCTTAATGCCAAGGTTTTCGTATTTTCATTCACAAAATTCGGGCCGTAATAAAATTGTGTGCATACAAATATAAGAAACTACACGCAAACATTTGCATCTTTCACCGTCGTTTTTCGCTTAGGTAAGCTACTCTCACTTTTGTCTAAACGGTACATCGCTAGTAGGGAAAACATAGACTATTAACTTGGTATTTCATAGATGTATGTAGCAAACAGAGTCGCAGACGTGTCCCGATCTTGTACACTATAAATAAAAAAAGTATAGTAGGGAACCAATCGAAAAGGTTTCGTAAATGTATAAACGGTTATAAATGCGTCAACATGCTTAGAAAATGCTTTTCAAAATCTAAGGATCTGAGCGCAGGCACTTGCTTCGAACCATCTCTTACGAAAACTTATCGATTGGTTTTTTAATATACATTTATTATTGATGGCACAACGTCAGTAGACCATTAATGGGGCATCGTTGCTCATACATTTACATCGTTTTATTAAACGAGCGACAACAACGTTTTTGTTTTTATAGTAATGTTTTGCTTTTCCGTGATATACACACCTATATAAGACTGACGCCATCCTCTCTTCTGATTGATACATGGATCGTTTATTGAAAGTATACATTTCTTGAATACCTAGTCAATACTCTATTTCACCACGAACGACGAAATCTGTTTTCGACATGAATTTGAGCCGAAAATGAGTATGACTAGTATTGAGAGTAGCTTTTCAGGACAAAAAAAATGAAACATGCACATATTTGTAAGCAGTCTTATTGGTATGTAAATGAGTGAACATGCGCAGCAACTGTACCGTTTAGGATGTGGATGAGGGAGCAGATAAAGATTCACAAGATGGTGAGGATTAGGGTAATTGTTAAATTTTAGGAAGTCTGATTGTTGTGCTCTTGGGTTCGTACTGACGACTGGAATCGTTCAATTCAAGTTTTGATGAGTACATTACTAGTAATACACAAGATTTTAGCCCCTATTTATGCCATTATCAGCGTTTAGTTTTATATGAACTGTGCACTTTTCAAGCGCCATCTTTTTCCGACAGACCCAGTCAGTACCGTGGGGCTCCGGAAAGCATTTGTTGCCTTCACTTTTCTTTATTTCATTCGCTTGCGACACCATATTAATGTAATAGCCAACCTTCTCATCCTCGGTACAGTTGCTCTTACAATTATATTAGTAGTTGCTATAATTAGTGGACTTTTGAATTCAGGAGTTTTCACGGCTTAAGAATTCACGAAAGTCAAACAGCTGTCACCGAATGTGAAGTCGATTCTTACCTTACTCAAGTCGTGCGTCTCTCGTCGTTATTTCCGTTATTCTGCGTGATTCACCTTGTCATATTCTTCACTTGGATTTTAGTAGAAAACAAGTGCTTTTCTCGTTTCATATCACCATTCCGCATTCTGTCTCCCAACACCCGCTTTTCTTTTTTAACATTAAGAAAAAGTTTACGAGAAATAGTTGTCAGGGTTGATTTTTTATTGTCCTCCGTTATGATTAACAAAGTGAAATATATCATTTATTTGCTATCTACCAGCATGGAGATCAATCATGGTGTAGACATAACGATAAAAAGCGAAAAAAGTACAACGAAATGAAAGCTTCATCTTCGATTTCTTCATTTCTATTTCAGATACAAATTCGATTATTCACTTACAGCATTCTAATTGGCATCGAAAACCTATTACTGATTTGTCGATTATTCAGTATTACTTCATTTACTGTGGTAAGTATTCGGATGACAATGGTTGATAGAGCAGACATTGTGTTTTGACCAGTTTTTACTAGAGAAAATCCTTCCCTTCAATATTTTCTATTTTACTTATATGAAGCAGGGCGTAAAAGATAGCATAACATATCTTTTTCGCATAATCCATCTAACTTCTAACAGGTTGTCAAGCCGGCATTCTCTCAGTGAAGACGCTGGTCGATATCTCAGTGATACTATGATCGTTTTTTATGTCTACGACTTAAAACTAATGTAAAACCGATTGAATATTGTGGTAGATTCTTGCAGCAAATCTTAGAACTTTTATCTTATGATCCTGATTTCTTCTATTCCGATTCAATTAATATTTTCTCGCTATGTGGACAGGAATTCTATGTAAACTCGACAGAGATTTATAATTCAAAAGTCTCAAATTTCTTCGAATTTTAGTATAAAGTGGTATGTCAAGAATTGTGCCTAGATCGTAAAGTGGCTCCATGAAAAACTGCCTCTCATTCGTCAAAAGATCTCTTAAGTTTTAAAAAGTCAAGTTCAAGACCGTGCCGGGTGTGGGTAGACATTGTATTAATCATACATTCACATCCACACCATACTCACTCACCCACACCCTCAAGAACTTGACTAGTGTATAGATTAGATTACCAGAGTTTTTCGAAAAACATTTTCTCCAAAGAAACATCCATTACTTCAGTCTTATTAACACAGATCTGGAATCCGCACACACACATATCTCTAGCCGCATCCAACAATTTTGATGATGGTTTCTTTCTCTTCTTATTTTCTTTAAATTTAGGTAAAATACGAAATATCAGTCACCGATCTTGATTTATAACGCGGACGTCGATGGCTTGGGGATCAACGGCTGAATGGGCTGCGGAGTACGTATCCCATGACGAAGATTTCGGCGGAGGTGTGACGAAAAGAATAAAGACACGTAAGACAAGAGATGATGTTAGGATGTGGAGCGGCATATTCTCTCTGGGAGTGACCGAATTAGTTGGCGAACATAAAATCGATACTTGTGAATACTATTGTGGGGATGACTTTTTAGGTACGACTAGGAATGAAGCCGCTGAAAGAGCACAAAGGAAAGGACTGACATATTTCAATGAAAATAATTTCAAAGCAGCAGAAAAATTATTCCGCGCAGCGCATCAGGTATGCGAGAGTGGCTACGCAAATGAAGCAATATTCAGAAGGAATATGGAAGCTGCAACACAAAGAGCGGCGCAAGCAGAGAGAGAAGCAGAAGAGAAGATAGTAGCAGATCGTCAAAGAGCAGCAGCTCTGGAAATGGCACAATGGAGGGCCACAGCAGCAGAAGAAGCGGCCTCAAACGCGCGGAGAATAGCAGAGCAGCATAAAGCAGCAGAAAACACGGCTATATATGCGCAAAGAGCGGCAG